GTATTGGTACCGTTCGGATTCGGATGAGTGACGGGATGATCCGGGAGTTGGCTGATGTGAGGTTCGTTCCTCAACTGAGGAAGAACATCATTTCACTTGGGGTATTGGAGGCAGCAGGCTATAGGGTGACTTTGGCGGATTCTCGCTTGAAGGTCACATCGGGGTCCATGATTGTGATGAAGGGAGTCAGGCGGAGTAACTTGTATTCTCTGCTTGGGAGCACGGTAGTTGATAGGGCGCTGACTACTTCTATGGCTAGACTGTGGCATTGTTTGGCGCTGGGATATATTGTTGGTTATACAGTGCACAGATTGTTGAGGAGTGCTATGACCTGCAGATTGAAGTCCTGTGAGCACAGTGGGATGAGCGAGAAGACCGAGGTGGAGTTCAGCACTTCTATCCATCGATCGAGAGGTCTTATTGGAGGTGTTCAGTCAGGCATTTGGGGGCTTTCCGAGGAGGCATCATCGGGAGGTAATCGTTATTTTGTTTCCTATGTTGGGGATTGTACTAGGCATATTTGGGCAAGTCCCATTGGTATAAAGCCCTAGTAGTCCGCAACAGTTGGAGGAGGTGTATGGGCAGAAAGGTTACCAGTCGTACTTATTCTAGTAGGAGTCCTTTCTTGCATTGGTGCCGAGCTCATGGCAGTTGGAGACACTTCAGAGGAGAGGAGACAGTGGGGCGACATGATGAGATGGCAGATTTAGTGAGCCGTTCTTTTCTGGAGGAGGATCGGCATTGGTTGTCGAGCAGTGGATCTGGTATTCAGGCTTCGACAGATTTGGGTCATTTTATGAGGTTGCCGACTGCTGCGTATAGAGTTGTTAGATCTGGTGGAGCTATTTCAGATTTTGGTTGGCGTCGGATATTGGGCTACCCAGCACTTGGTCACATCATTGATGTGAGATTGGATCCGATTGCGCATTTGGGATTCAGAGGCTCGTTCGGCTATCAGTGGAGAGCTTCTGAGCAGGTTTGTCACTTTGGACTCTCGACAGGTGGAGAGTATTGATCAGGTCAGAGGGATATCGCAGCGGGTGGAGGTTGATGCTACTCCACATTGGGTGGGGACTTTGCGGATCAACGCTTCTCAGTTCCATAGTATCCTGGAACTGTATTGCGCGGAAAGCGGCACATTTTTCACCCTCAATGGTGAGCTTGGTATCACCCCTCACGAGATGTACGACGTGTCGGGGCTGCCTTTGGGAGACTTTCCTTAC